CGGTGCTCGAGTACATGTGCACTAACAAACTGTACGCCAATGCAGACAGGTACATCTTTGGCGCAGAAGAGATTCCTTTCAGGGTGTCTCATTGGGTAGCGTGGCCTTCGAGCGGATCCTGCTACGGTCAAGATTATTGTAGAATGGCCGGGTCCAAATAACCAGAAGAACTTGCGTAAGTGGTTTGGTCTTGCCAATTACTTGCACAAGTAAAGCGTAAACTACGCAGAAATGGCCCGGCCATTATTCAATCTTCTTAGAAAGGATGCGGATTGGTGTTGGAGTACCGAACATAAGGAGGCTTTTGACGGGGTCAAAGACAGCTTCCTGCATGCACCAATACTGGCGCTGTCAGACCCTGATCGTCCTCTCAGCGCCGTCTGTGATGCTTCGGACTTTGCCATCGGCTGTGCTGTGCTGCAAGCAGACGCCGAGGGGCGAGATCGGGTCAAATCTCGACAGCTCAAAGCTGCAGAGAAGAACTACCCAGGTCATGACAAGGAGCTACTTGCGATGAAGGATGCACTTGTCAAGTTCAGGGTCGAAATGCTCGGCTCCAAGCCTTTTGTGATCCACACAGATCATGAGTCATCACGCACTGCGACTCAGTCGCTCCACCTCTTGCAGATGATGGTTAGATGGCTATCCTTCTTTGCGGACTATAACTTTGAGGTGAAGTATAAGACGGGAAAGCAGAATGATTTGGCCGACGCGTTATCACGCAGACCAGACTATGAGCTTGCTCATGTTACAACTGTAACGTCGTCTGTGACAGATTTGATTCGCATCGCAAATGCGGGTGATGGAATGTGTGTAGCGTTGCTACGGGCTCTAGGGGGCAAGGAGTTTGGAAGCGCGGACAAGAAATTGCCATCACGAATGCTTGCACGATTGCACCGATATTCGTTGAATAATGAGTTGCTATATTATAGCACCAATCCAACGGATACACCACGAATTGTGGTTCCTCATGATGAGGATTTAAAATACCGCATCCTCTA